TAGAGAGGGTTAAACCAGGCTGCTCCTTGGAGGCAAGGATTCTGGGGCTTCGCCTGACATACTTTGGACATGTTGCAAGGAGGGACCGGTCCTTAGAGAAGGACATTATGCTGGGGAAGGTGGAGGGCCGGTGCAGGAGGGGAAGGCCCTCTATGAGGTGGATTGATTCAGTGACTGGGGTAATCGGGATGGGTGTGTCAGAGGCAGTGAGATTGGCACAGGATAGAGCGGAGTTTAGGGCTGTTGTACATACGGTTGCTATGAGTCGCAAACGACTCGACGGCACATAAGAACAACAACAATAATAATAGTAATGATATTCACACTAACAGTAGCTAACCCTGAACACTTACTGCACGCCATGTACAATAACCTGAAGTGTTCTAATTCACTTAAACCTTACACCCACTCTAGGACGGGGAGCTAGTTTTCTCTCCATTTTACAGATGAGGAAACTGAGGCCTCCGGCGGTGACATGAGAGATAGAACAGGACTGTGACTGCGTCCGTCCTTGCCTTCACCACCACGCTGTGCTGATGTGTGCCCTCCAATATCTATCAACCCCTTTCAGAAACAATTTCTGACAATTGTCAATGACAATCACTCTCTCTCTTCCGTAATCATAGTAAGTTAACAAGAGCAACAGTCATGTTAATCTTAGGATTAACAATAGTAATACTATGCCCAATATTATTATTATTATTATACAATTCACTGGTGCTTACAGTTTACCTAACCTCCCTTCAGCAGCCTCGCTTTGCCTTAAGGGGACCTGAGACCCCACTGACCCAGGATTGTCCCTTCAATCTCTCAGTCTGCCCATCTCCCCTCACTCTCTGTGTCTTACAAACTGTGCTGTCTAGGCCTCCTGCGTGTCATTCTCTGCCTGGAACGTGGGTTACTTCTCTCCAAAGCCCGCCCAGAGGCCCGAGACTGGTGACAGCATCCTGATGGTATTTTCAGAGTGCTCCTGACAACTTCTCCACAATGTCAAATCCCTAACATGCCTTAGAATACTGTAGGTGCTGTGCTTCAGTTCTAACTCCGGGCTGTCCTAGTGTGTCCCAGCAGAACTGTGTTCCACGGGAGGGAACGCTATTGGAAGGGGGCTGCCGAGACTTTCTTCTGAGGCATCGTGGACTTCCACGTCTCCAGCCTCGTTAGATGACTATGCTGTGCTTTAATGGGCTTCTCGCTCTCCAGCCTCACAGGTAACAGTGGAGTAAGCTAACTGGCTAACCCAGGGACTCCAGTAAGCACTGAGTCAACACTAACTGAACGAGTGAATAAAGACCAAGGGGAAAGCCTAGAGCCAGAACAATCCAGAACAACGGCTTTCAGGGACAGGTTGTGGAGACTCAGTGACACACTGAAAGGAGTTCGGTTGGCACAGCGGGTAAGCACTTGGCTTCTAAGCAGAAGGTCAGTGGTTCAAATCCTCTAGCTGCTCCACCAGAGAAAGATGTGACAGCAGCATGCTTCTGTAATGATTACAGTCTTGAAAAGTCTATGGGGAAAAACAAACAAACAAAAACCAAGAAAACTCCCAAAACCCTAGGCGGTAGCTGTACTCTGTCCTACAACCAACCATCACCAACCCCACTGCTGTTGCGTTTATTCCTGGTCGTCCCCCACTGGGCTCTGGAGGCCGTAAACCTTAGTGAAGGAGATGGCACATCGTTCTCCTGAGGAGCAGCTGGAGGATTCGAACTGCTGACCTGTTTGTTAGTACTTCAATATGTAATGCACTATATTGTTACCAGGGTTGTACGCTGCCCTGCAGGGCTGCTGTAAGTAAAAATCGACTTGACAGCAATGGGTTTGGCCCTTTTATGGCACAAGGTGGGGGACCTGGTGGGCTTTTAGAAGACAGGCTACAGGTATCCAGAAGACTCCACCAGATATGGGCAGCCCGACACAGGGTGGAAGGACCCATCCTTTACCCTCCACACATTTCAAATGCTCAGTGAAACACCTGCTTCAGATCACCCCCACCTTTACTTTCAGCATAACGTACCCAGTTTACTTAGAAATAGAGTGTTTCTGGTGACTCCATCTATCTTAAAACCCCCAACTTGTTGCCAATGAGTCAGAATTGACCCTTCAGGGGGTTTTCTGAGACGATGAATCACGCTGGAAGAGACTGGCCATCTTTCTCCTGCAGAGCAGATGAGAGACTCAACCAGCCAGAGGCGGAAGCCTTTGCGCTAGCAGCTTAACTCCCCACCGACTACGTCAACACAGCTCCCAGTGAGTATGGTGTGTACGTTAGACACACACACACACACACACACACACACACACACGCGCGCGCGCGCTTGCAACTTGAAGGAACACGAGCTTCACGTCAAACATCCCCACGAGACGTCAGTCATGGTTTGAAATCTCTCAACACCAACGACCACACCAAGTGCCACTTAAGCTGTCCGCACAACCGAGCTGATCATTTATCTGCCTTATTTCCTGACAGCTATGCACACAAGCGCCTGCAATAAGACCGCATCCCTGTCTTCTAGTATCTCCCTTCTCAAAATGTGGTCCACAGACCAGAAGCCTCCACATCTGGGCATGTGTTACAGATATGGGATTCCAGACACACACACACACACACACACACACACACACACACACACCCAGTCCCCCAAAACCCATTGGTTCAGTATCTGTGTTTTAACAATCCCCAGGGAACCAGGCATGCAGTCAATTCTGAGAGATGCTGGCTCAGTGCGTATAACATACAACAGAACCACACAGGTCTTATTAGGAAAACCCTGGTGGCATGGTGGTAAAAATACTCTGTTGCTAACCAGAAGGTTGGCGGTCTGAATCTACCAACCGCTGTGAGGGAGAAAGATGTTGTAGTCTGCTTCTGAAATGATTACATGAATCTTGGGACTCCCACAGGACAGATCTTCTCTGTCCTATAGGGCCGCTGGGGTTCAGAATTGGGTCAGTTTTATACAAAAGAAGAATAGGAAGGTATTAGGACATGAATTCCTAGAAGAACAGGATCTATCTGAACATATCACAATAGGATCTTCTGGGGAGTGTTAAGATATGTGGTTTATTATGATATATTGGCAGGAAAAAAAGAGCACTAGGCTCTGACTAGGTAAAAGCGTTGACTTGGAAAATGTCTCCTGAGTTTTCTATGCCTCCTATGATCTTGTGGGCACAGTATTACATTAAAAAAAATGGTTGGCTGCATAATAACAGCCTCAATTTACCAATTAGGGCCGGCTTGCTGTGAGCCCACAGCTACTTGCTAGAGTGGGTTTTATGCTCCAAGATCCCGTGGTCTGTATGGACGACCTCATCCGATCCCTGCTCATGATCCAATCAGACGAGATCATTTTACTAGTGAGAGAAGCTGAGGTCCAGGGATGCCCAGCCACCCGCCCCAGGTCACTGAGGCAGCACAGAGCAGAGCTGGACCTTGGACCTAGGCGAGGTGAGGTTTCTTTTAAAGCTTCCTTGGGGAACACAATTCCTTTGACCCTATAAGCAGAGGAGTGATGCCCCTTAGGGTCTACAATGCTATAATTTTTTTTAAGACTTAAAAAAATTTATTATTTTGTTGTGGTTGTTGTGTGCTGTCGAATCGGATCCTACTGGCACAGGAGGAGACTGCCTCTCCTTCTCCAGCAGAGCATCTGGTGGATACGAATCACACACCTTCAGGATTGCAGCACAGTTTCTTGCCACTAAGCCACCAGAGCTCCAAGGCTGTACATTTTTTATCAAAGCCAACTGCCACGCTCCTTGCATAGGCAGGTTTGAACTCAAAGCCTTTTGCTTACTCTCTAAACACTTTACCACTCTGCCACCAGGGATTCGCGTGAAACACAAGGGCACGACTTATCAGATGTGTGACCTTGGGCAAATCGCAACACCACAGTTTCTCCATCTGTGCAATGGGCTTCTCTTAATGGGATCCACAGCAGGCACTGCTCTGGCTGGAAGCACCGCCCGGTTCGTCCCCACTTACTTCCTCCGCCGGTGGCGGCGCTCCTTGTCCTCCCTCCGCGCGTCCCCCTCGTAGGCGGCCGGGGGCGCGTGCCGGTGCCTGCGCCTGCGCTCCCCGCCGTCGGGCGCCTCGGCCTC